CTAGTTTAGAGAATTGATGGCCAAACTTTTTGTCTTGTGTACCACAAATATAGCCCTGTGCCCTTCCTGAGTCCTACTCTGATCCCCTCCCCACCCTGCTAAATCTGCCATTCCTTCTGTTCCCTGCCCTTTGCTCCCTTCCTGACCTGCCGTTCTACTTTCTGCTCTGGGCTCCCTGCATGATCTGCTGCTCTGCTTTCTGCTCCTTGTCCTTTCTGTTGCTGTGCTGCTTGCCCCCTCCTTAATCTGCTGTGTGCCACACACGAAGGCTGCTCATGCCACAGGTTGGCCACCCCTGCTCTACAGAAAGGGAAGTCCTGGTATAACTGGATTGCTGGTGGCAGCTCCCCAATGCCTGTGACAGCAGATGAAGCTTGCAGGGATCGAAGTGCCTAGGGACTGTCCTAGCAGCATGGAGATACAGGCTAGTAGGGAAGCTGGCAGACTTACCTTGAGGTTCCTGTGCACAATCTTGAGGGAATGGAGATAAGCAACAGCCTCCAACACCTGTCGGATGACATTGCTGGTGTCTCGCTCAGAATAATAACCCTGATCCAAGATCCAGTCGAACACCTCCCGGCCTGTGGCCCTGTAGTTAGGGAGAGACACAGCAAAAGCCTGAGAGAATAGCAGTACCAGGCAGGAGTGACTCCAACTCTACTGTGACTCAGAGTTCTGTACAATGCTCTGGGTAGGAGGGACAGCAATGGAAGAGGAGTGTTATGAGGATTGGCTCAGCCAGATGGATGAGGCAGTGACCTTCTCACCTGGGACCCAGATCTTAGCAGTCAGAGCCTTGGAAAAGACCAGAGAAATCTGTGAATTTCTAGGCACTTAGCTAAACCCCCAGAGCTTCTGCCATCAAAAAATTCAGTGCAGCTGGCCATGCCACCCCCATCCAGCAAGCATGCTCACAGCAGAGGCCTGAGTGTTCCTGACAGCTCCCTGTGGCTGGCTGTAGCTAAATTTAATATGATTTAGCCTGAAATCAGACCTCTGAAACAAGTCCTCCCATAGGCCCTGGTCCTTCTCAGGTGAATACATTTCCTGTATCACTGTTACAGGAAATATATATATACACTGGTATATCAATGGTCTCAGAACTAGATTATTCCAGAATAGAATAGAATAGAATCCTGCCTTTTCTACCCTACAATCAACACCCTGTATTTGAGGCTCTAAGCTCCCTATGATCCACAGCACGGCTCTTTCTCTGGCTGTGGTGGCATGGATGGGCTGCAGCTCAGAGGGCAGCACTGACTGATTTCTGTCAACAGATAGAGTAGATGGCCATGCCTGTTGTGCAGAGAGGAAAACCATAGGAGCATATGGGGCAAGAACAAGTGTCAGAAAGGAGCCCAGGAAGGCTTTCTGGAGAGGTCCCAAGGGGCATTAACTTACAGTTCCAGGAAGATGAAGTACTCTTTCCGGGTGACATATACATCAACCAGCTGCAGGATGTTGGGATGCTTCACCCTATGGGGACAGGGCAAGAGAGCACAGACTCAGCAGGCTCTGCCTGATGTGCACCATGGCTCAGAAAGGTACCCCCTAGGCCAAGGCACAGAGACCCTGCCTGGTTCTGATCCAACATGTATATCCCTCTCCCCATGAGCTGGTGGATCTCAGGGGAACTCCACAGACCAGAAATGAAAGGTGACTTGGAGGATGAGCTACTGGGACAACAGAGCCCCTAACACAAGGCTACGAAGTGCGCTCTGATCCAGCTCTTCATGGTGGCTGGGGTAGGCTGGCCTGGGGTAGGCAGGAATGAGTTCTTTGTTCAAAACCCACAGTTGCTCTCAGCTCCCCACTTCATACTTGCCAGCTGGTTGGTGCTATTTGTTTGCCTTTGCTCCTAAGCCCTTTTGAGAACCCTATTAGAGGAGGTAAAGATGCTGGGGGCACAGAAGCTGCCTGGTACTGAAACAGACCATTTCAGAAGGCAACAACCAAATCAGGCAGAGTACAATTAAACAAAATCACTTGTTGTCAGAGAAGAGCCTGACTGGGGGCACTTTTTGTCAGGATGAGCCTTGTGGTATTGTGTCATCAGTTTAGCAGATGCAGTTCCTATTGGTATACTGGACTTCAGTCCTCTTCTACTAGCTGTTGTATATGAGAAGGTAAAAGCCTACTATAGCTGCTAGATAATACATCTACTTTACTATGTTGCAAAGACAGCAGACTCATGCTGTTAGTATTGAAGGTTCCCAGGTCAAAGCCCAAGGGGATTCTACAGACTTACATTTTCAAGATGATGATCTCATTCTTGGCTGCCTTTCGCACCTTCCGCCCATCTCTCTTCAGAAATTTCTTGCATGTGTAGAGTTTGCCTGTTGTTTTTTCTTTGGCTCGGAAAATTTCACAGAACTCCTCCCTGGGGAACGTGTCACCAGAAGACCAGTTAAAAATGCTATGACATGATGCCTCACCTATCCATATCATGACTGCAGAGCATAGGACGGTGGGGTGGAAAACATACTAATCAGAGTTAGACCCAAGGAGGGTGGCCAATGCCAATGGACAATTTGAAATGTTGAAATGAACTGACCATGTAGTTATGATACCCATGCTTCCCTTAACTTATTTTAGAGGGAACTGGAGGGTAAATAGTAGTTACCATGTAGCAGCATGTCTGAGTTACAGCTTTAAAATGACTTCCTGGTCAGATGATAATGGCAAGGACAGAAGAGGCAAGACTGAGCAGGGCTCCTTTCCCATAAGAGAAGTGGTTTCTATAGCACCTTGCTCCTGGTGGGAATTCTGTGCTGGAGGGAGCAATTTTACATTATAGAAAATCTCTGTCTTGCTCAAATTTTCACCAGTTCAGAGAGACTCCACCCATTTTGCTGGAAGAGCCTCTGCTAAGCCCACACAGGCTACAAAAACTGCAGGCACAAGACAGATCGTCAATGGTCAAGTCTGCCCCCAGTACAGAGCCAGTCTCTCCCATGGCAATCTGAAAACCCATGCCATCAAACATCAGACATCCTTCAGATATGTGGATCTCTGACACCAAGTGTGATGCTTTGTTGCTATATTAACCTACATTTTAATAGCATAATATACATATAAGTGGTAAGCATATTGAAACAAAATACATTCAGACTAGAAATAAGGTACCAATTTTTCAGTGATGGTATTTAATCAATGGAATCATGTACCAAGGGCTGAGATGGATTACCCATCAGTTAAGACAGTTACATGTCTAAAAACTCCTGTAGATTAAACAAGAAGTTCTGTGGTTTTCTTAGAGAGGTCAGACTATATGATCACAGAGGCCCCTTTTGGTTATAATATGATCCTGAGTCCAGGAAAATCTGCTAAAATTGTTCAGATTCAATTCAGAGTCTGGAGTGACGTTTTGCCCAATAAACTGGGGAGCTTTAGTGAGTCTACTGGCAGCTCCTACAGATGAAGATGAAGTGACCTGATGATCTATGCATCTGTTCTGGTCTTTCTGAAGGCCACATGACAAGCCAGATGAAAGAAGTCTGTGTTTGAATCTCTGTGCAGAGAAGATGGTTCAAAGCTTTGGGGTCTTTGATTAGACACAGCATTTGAGCTCCCCTGTGATTAATCCCCTCCCTGTCAGCAAGTGAGTGGAGCTAAGCAGTTAACCATATAAGTCAGTGGAACTCCTGATTAGGTAAACTTGAGCAGCAAAAATTAAGGATTTGGAGGGAATTTGGAGAGGTGTCTGTGTGGCTCTATATCAGATATGGATGACAAGGGAACAGTTGCTGTGACCTGCTTTGGGTGAGCTGTTTTCATTTTTGTTGAAGAACAGAAGAAATGTCTGGTGCATGGACATACTAGGTAACAAGATAGATGACAGGGAGCCTACAATCCTTCATAGTATCCAAGAAAAGAAGGACATCTTGGATAACCCAGTTCAGAAATAATTGCCACAGATTACACAAGGAGAAGGGTCAGTGAGGGGGGAATCAGAGAGAACAGAATGGAAAAAGTTGACTGGTGATTTGTCACAAAGAAGGGGAATAAAGATAGGTATTCAACCTAGCCAGAAGTATAAAATTGTTATCAGGTACTCAGTGACTCTCTTCCTGAGAAGCCTGTTTGTAGAGGAGTGGAAGAGAAAAATAGAGAGGGCATGACTAATAGACATCCTTCCTGTATGAAGCAAGAAGATACCACAAGAGCATCTTCAGGCCTTCTAGGAAGGCAAATAATCCTCATTAAGGTTAGAAAATTCAGGGAGAGAAACAAGGACAACAGGATGGGGTGATGCCTGTACATGGTGAAAATATGGATGTAACTGCAAGACTGATTCTGAGGTCAACCTGCAGATTTAGTGATGATGCACAATGGAACCAATGACATGGCATCATGTGAAACTGCATGGATGAAAGATTTCAAGGGCCTTGGAAGAGAGCTGAAGATGGGGAAAGTCCAAATGATCCTCCTGGATAGTCTTTTCATCTCAGAGTGAAGAGAGATGCACAAAATAATGAAGGGGAACCACTGACTGTGCGGCTGGTATAAGGCTGGAGGTTTCCATTTGGGGGAACATTGTACAGCTCCTCTTTCACTGAAATGTGGCCCAATAGGGCAGCCTGCATCTCACATGTAGGAAAATTGATCTATGTGGTTGGAGACTAGCTGAAACACCCAAGAAAGCATTAAACTAGCCAGACAAAGGGAGGTGTTCAGAAGGCAAATGAAGTATAAGAATTTTTCAGTTGCTTACATACTGAAGCTAAGAGTCATGTAACAAGTGAGAGGAACTGGATATTGTCTGTGACAAAAACAAATTTGCTATAACTGGTATTACTGAAATCTGGTAGAATGATTTGCATGGTTGAAATGTTAAAATAATTGGTTATAGCCTGTTATGGAAGGAAACAGCAGGAAAGAGAGATGGAGAGCAGCAGTCCATATTAAAAACATCATTATCTATGTTACAGTATTGGTAACTTACAGCATAGGATCTTGGCTGCATATGGATTAATGTGCTAACAAAGTCGACGAGATAACCATCGTGAGGCAGCTCTCCTTTGGACCTCATTAACTCATGGCTAAAGAAGAATTAATCAGTGGACTCAAAATTAGTGGTTACCTAGGGACCAGTGATTCATCAGGCACCTGACTAGACCTCTAACATGTACACCATCATCCAGAGGATCAATGGTTGCCTATATAATGATTTTGGTCTGAGAACATTGAATATAAGTAAATAGAGATAAACCCTAGCAAGTAACATGTGTACTTCATGTTTCAAAAGGATGTATTACAATATCTGAGGAAAATTATGAGAAAACTGAATTGGAAGGAAAAATGTAGACAAGAAAAACTAGGAGTTCTTTAAGCAGAGTTTATTATTATTCCACAGTCAAGAACTAGTACACTTTGAACTAAATCCTATTTCACTATTAGCACCTAAGTAGCACGTTCATAGCCATGAAACTGCAATTGTTTGATGCTTCTTCACAGTTTAGATTGTATTTTCACCTGTGCCAGATTAGCATCATCCAGGTAAGTACATACCTGCAAGAGGCAAAACTAAGGAAGAGATGGTCTCTCCACTTTTAGGCCAACAGCATAGTGGTTAGGATACTTGCCCAGGAACCAGAGAATACTTGCCCTTAGAGGCAGGGGCTTGAACCTGCACATTTGCAGCAAATTGCTCTAGCTTCCGGGCAGGGGGGTAGGCATTGCCCAATGCACTCTCAACCTCCATTGAAGCTATCCAGGAGGCAGGAAAAAACTAGAGGAATGATGATTCACTGAGATGGATGCTTCCCTGGACAGGAGGGGGCTCTGGCTCCTAACCCTAGTAGCTTTTCTGTACTTTGAATTTAATACTGATTGGCTAAAATGGATAAAGGGTAGTGGGATAGTTGCTGCCCCATTGGGGCACAGCTAGAACTCAGGACTCCTTTCTCCAGGACAGATCCACTTCACTAAGCCACCTTTCTGCTGTATTGCTCTTCTCTTCCTGCTGAGTAGGAAAGTACAAACTGAGTGTATCTGAAGAGGTCCAAGTAGAATCTAAGGTATGTGCAAGTGTCAAAAATTGTAATTATGAAAGTACATAAGTGCCATGTGAAGGAGTAAAGGTGGAATACATGCTAGCCCATTGGCTACAAGCTTACATGTGTTCAGTGGATAAAAGCAAGCAGCAACCAGAACTAAAAATGAAATATATAAAAAGAAGAAGATATATTAGAAATTTCAGAGTATACAAAGAAGTTTAGGGAAGCTTAACTCATCAAGGACAATTTAATAGGTGGCAGAGCTAAGGACTGTAAGAAATTTGTAAGTATACTAAGAACAAAAAAATCCTAACAATGGTATAGACCTATTACTAGGCTAAAATTGTAAAGTTTTCGTTAATAAAGACACAGCAAATGCTGACATTTTCAATAAATATTTTGATCTGCACTTAAAACAAAGTGAAATGATGTGTTTGTATGTGGTGGAACACAACTGGGGTGCTCACCACTTAGTGCGGGCTGCAGCAGGCTGGAGAAGTGCCTGCAAGGAGGGCAGCCAGGAGACACCCCTGAATAGCCATTTTAAGGGGGAAGGTGTTTGGTGGAGCACCAACCAGGTATTCACCACTTAATAGTTTCATAGTTTCTAGGGTCGGAAGGGACCTGAACAGATCATCAAGTCCGATCCCCTGCCCTGGGCAGGAATGAGTGCTGGGATCAGAATACCCCAGCCAGATACCTATCCAACCTCCTGTTGGAGACCCCCAATGTAAGGGAGAGCACCACCTCCCTGGGGAGCCCATTCCAGAACCTAGCAGCCCTAACTGTAAAGTAATGCCTCCTGTTATCAAACCTGAACCTGCTCTCAATCAATTTGTGGCCATTATTCCTTGTTATTCCAGGTGGTGCCTTGAGGAACAGAGCCTCACCTATTTTCCGCTGGTCCCCCTGGTGAGTTTATAGATGGCCACCTGATCCCCTCTCAGTCTTCTCTCATGGAGGCTGAATAGATTCAGGCCCTTTGGTCTATCTTCACAGGGCCTGGCCTGCTGCCCCCTGACCATGTGAGTGGCCCTCCTCTGGACCCTCTCCAGGTTAGCCACATCCCTCTTGAACTGCGGTGCCCAGAACTGGACGTGTGCTCCAACTGCGGCCTGACCATGCCGCATAGAGGGGAAGGATCACCTCCTTGGACCTGCTTGTGATGCATCTGTAGATGCACGACAAGGCGTGGTTACCTTACTGACCGCTTCCTCGCATTGGCAGTTCATGTCCATCCTGGAGTCAACAATGACTCCAAGATCCCTTTCAGCCACTGTGTTGTTGAGAAGGGTGTTCCCCAGCCTATAGGTACGTTGCAGGTTCCTTCTCCCTCGATGCAGCACCTTGCACTTGTCTGCGTTGAATTCCATCCTATTCT